GATAGTGTTTTATTTTATATCCACTGTTGTAAACAACAAGGCTCAAATCATATAACCGTATGCTTTACCATCTCATAAGTCAGTAATGCAAATCCAGAACCATATAACTATATTGTCTAGAAATTCTTCACATGGATACCTTGGCAGTAACTCTGGCGATTAGAGCGGTCGGTCACAAGTTTGAGTCCAAAATAGGATAAAATGTTCATCAAGCTGGATTCCAACGTTAGTCACTAGTTATCATAAGTATTAAATTCGTACTTCCTAAGTTTACAGTGATATCAACTTGACAACATTTAGTTCATTCAACTGAACTAAGTTAGTACTATTTATTGACATACTTGTTATTCTCCGTTGTTTGTTGTATTGGATCGAATTGTTCCACCTCTATTGGGCGTATGGGCTGGTATGCGGATGCTTCAATATTGCCTGAATGTCAATAATGGTAATTTAGTTGGTTGTAGCTAGCAGAGGAATCTAGGACACACATCTTGTCCTACTTGGGACTCGTCAGCTGGATGTACCTGTACCCCAGTGTGGTATGTTGTTCCCACTGAGACTCGAACCTCATGCCCATTGCTTTAAACGCCAAGGTGTTACCCACTATGTTACGGGGGGTACGGGGTTCGAGTCTCAATAGGAACAACATACCTCACTGGGGTACAGGTATATCCAGCTGACGAGTCCCAAATAGGACGAAACACTCATCCTTGATTCTTCAGTTAGCCACAACCAATTCAAAACTAAATTAGATCTATACAAATAAGCAACTTCATTAATTATATACACATATTGTTATATGACTGACTGTAAAAGTCTAATTAGACGTTTATACCATTCCTCTATGACCTTATTATTTTATGAAGTGATTTCATTCATAACTCAAATCATTGTTTAGTATCATATTAGCATTAAAGGTAAAGAGATAAGATAAGAATAAAAAAGTAGTTGATTTCGATTTAGTGTAATGATTAAGTTGAGTACTATTTGAGTATATTTCCAATAATTTCTATACACTTCACGTAGATCATACATGTTTTTGTATGAATTTTTATGGAATTTGCATAAAAAAATTAATAGTACTGTACTATGTACATGTGTATATCTTACATTTTTTTTCTATCTTTTAATGGTAGCTAACAAATAGAATAGATATTTAACTTCTATAGCTTGTTAAGTGTTGAAAATGAATATTGTATGCAACTGATGAGTGCTTTGTTCAAATCGAAACGTGTTTACTTGATTACACTCTTAAAATAGATTAAATAGGTTATAGTTAGAACTGCCTTTTGATTCTTTCCTTAAATATTTCTTATTAAATAAGTTTATCAGAAGTCATATTGAGTTGTGGATTGAAAACCATGCCGATCATCTCCTCGTTTAAATGTTATCACCAGTCTTCTTTAAATGATCTCATACTCAATCCCTCCAGACACCAGATGGTCAATTTAAGCTTAAGAAGTGAATAAGACATGCGTAAATTGCTTCAGTTCCATGACTCTTGTCTCATAGGTAACTCTGTTGCAGAGAATGTAGCAAGCATGACCCATCTTGGCATATGTTTCTCCTCTGATCTTTCCTGCTCCCCTCATATCTTAGTGATATCTAGGAGAATCCTTCGTTTGACCTTTTATATAAGGAAACTCAAACTGTCTGGTATAACTCAGTCTCTACTTTTACGTTCCACCTTATTCTTTCTTGGGCTACAGAAAAAAGACTATGATACATTGTGTAAGATATTGAAGTCTGTTAGTTAAGCTAGTGGTACATCACCAAATGCGCTGAACTCTTGAAGACAGCTGGATAAAAATGTTTTATTTGATGACAAGCACCCCTGTGCATCCTCACTTCCCCTCATGTCTGTCCTCTGGGAAGACAAGATGCAAATATATTAAACTCTATGCACACAAAGCTGCATACATACACTTTCATAACAACTTTGCAATAGTGAACAGTTATCACGACACTGAAGTCATTGGACATTTCATTATTATGGTATAATTGCTGATGAGTCCCATATAGGATGAAATGCGCATCCTGCATTCCACTGCTAACCACTGTCCATTATTATTAATTGTCCATTGGGTTCCTAATGGAACATAGGACTTCAGTAGCACGTCTCTAGTGCACTCTGTTATCTACAAACCTTTAAACCTGGATCCAAGACAGCCCACAAGCTCTCATTTCTTCCTCACATCATCTCCTCCATGTCACCCTCAACTGGGGAGCCCAACTCCTCGCTTCCCATCTGGGTTCCAATCGATGCCATGGCCTGGCACGTGATGTCCCCAGTCGGCCTTCTCAGTGTATGCCCAATCCATCTCCATTTCCTGCTTCTGCATATTTGTTGAGCGATAGGTTATTGGTTGGTTCGTCGCCAGCCAGCCAGAGTTTCATGTCGCTGATGTTTTCTGGTCATCTGATCTTCAGTAAAGAGCCAGCGTAGGCAGTTGTTGATGAATGTCTGTAGTTTGTTGGAAGCGATTTTCGTAACTCGCCGAGTCTGTGAGCCATACAGAAGCATTGACTTGACTGAATTGGTGTTGAAAATTCGGATGTTGTTGACGCTTTGTGCTGTGTGCAGAAGATCTCCACACTGGTTTCAGGTTAATGAATGTCTGTCTTGCTGTGTTTCCGATGCTGACTGGTTTCGACATCCTTGTCTGTGCCTGTGCCGCCACCTGTAGTTGAAAGAGTGCTGCCTAGATAGGTGAAAGAGACTGCTTCCTTTAAATTTCTTCTGTTGATGGTGATTGGAGCTTGTTGTTGTTGTTGTTGGTTGGATATGTTCATCACCTCTGTCTTCTCTCTGTTCACTTGAAGTCCGGTTTTCGTTGCCCTGCCCTGCCCTGCCTTTTCTGTCAACTTGTTAGTTTTCGCCTCTAGATCTTCAAGTTTGTGTGACATTGACATAAGTCATCATTGGCGAAATCCAAATGTTCTAGGATGTTTTCCCTGGTCCGGCGTATCCTTCTATTCTCGCTCCTCACTGTTGTCTGCTGCATGATCCAGTCTACCACAATCAGGAAGATGATCAATGATAGTATGCAGTATGCCTTGTTTTACTCCTTCCTGTCTTCACTTCAAAGGCATCACTGAGCTTCCTATTGTGAATTGCTTGGTATGTGGTGTCTTCATATAGTTGTTGAATGGGATTGATAAATTTTTGTGGTATTCCGTGGTGTTGAAGCGACTGCCTGCCAAATTACTTCTTGGTCGATGGTGTCGAGGCAGTTTCAAAGTCGATGAAGTTTAGTTAGAGACTTGATTGGCATTCTCCCCTCTGTTGTATGATGATGCGAAGCGTTGCAATTCGGTCATCCATCATTACTATTTCTTTATTATGTTTTACTGAAAATAGCACCATTGTTAATGTACATTTGAAAAAATGTTTTCCAACAGGTAAACTTATGCAGGGTGTGTAGAGTAAGGCGAAACTGCTTTTGTACACATCTGAAGGTGATTTCAATTTGTGTGTAGGACTGTCGCTTCCGTAAATCTCAGTATGCATCCCTGACTGACTATTTCTCTGTAAAACTTTGAAAGCTGTTTGAACATTAATTTGCGTGTATGTGTGGGGTCACATGGAAGAATAATTGAGTCATCCAGTTGAGAGTGTGGCTCGAACAACACATATGGAGTATGAAACTTTTGATAACCGGAGGTCGAGGAAGACAACCTTCTTCATCTGTAGCCAAATCTACAATGAGAACGGGTCACAAAAATAATATTGAAGACATTACAAGCAACAAAGAGATTGATTACAACTTCACACTACAGTACCACTGTTTTGAACGGAACAACCACCCGTCAGTCAGTCAAACCACATAAGGCCAACATGGCAACATACTGTCAGATACTGTCAATGAAGACTTAACACTACTGATTAGTCGTTTCGCTTCAGTCTTCTCCCTACATGAGATGATGAAGTTCCAACTTGGCATGACTACTATCGATTACATTTTCACGTTACATTGTACCTTCGTGGATTTGGAATGCATCTGTTAAAACATTTGACTACAGCCAACTCCTAATGGACTGTAATCATCATGTATACCTCATGAAAGAGATTCAGCTTGTGTATTGTATGATGGAAATCATGTTAGACTATGCATGTTGTTATCAATAGTGAATAGTTATCATGACACTGAAGTCAATGAACATTCCCATATTATTGTTTTACTGAAAACAGCATCATAGATTTAGAAAAAAGTGTTGTACAACGGGTAAACTGATGCAGTATCATCACAAGCTGAGAATTATCTACTGTAAACATAATTATGGTGCAGAATAAAGCAAGTATATTATCACTATTACTATTACTAAGTATCATTTGGCTATCTCAGATAGCAGTCATGACTTAGCAGACTGGTATTTATACTGGGTGATGATTGAAGGTGAGATAAAAATCTGCACCGCAGCTGGATTCGAACCAATGACCACCAGATTTCTAGCCCGATGGTCTACCAAGTGAGCTACGAGACCTCTTCTGCTGACCAGAGTTTTATTTCACTTCAATTACCAAGGATTTTTGACCGACTACCATGTGAATTCGTTTCACCATCAATCATCAAGCACGAATTCATATGGTAGTCGGGTGAAAATCCTTAGTGACTGAAATGAAATAAAAATCTGGCCAGTAGACGAGATCTGGTAGCTCAGTTGGTAGAGCATCAGGGAGGAAACTTGGTGGTCGCTGTTCCGAATCCGTCCGCGGTCCAAATTTTTATTTCAACCCAGTATAAGTATTATTACTAAATCTCTGTTCATCGAGTCAGTATCCAACACATGTAATAGGAAGGATGTAACACCCCATGCCAGAGGTGTGGGAAATTCTACTACCGATAACTGCAAAGGATCTGATTGATGACTGTACTATAAAAATCAGATGCTAAAAGTTGTGTAATTACAATATCAGAAGGTTTCTCCTTCAAATTTTGTTTATGATATACTTGATTTATTCATTTAATCTATGTTAGCATTTATCTTTTATTTTATAGACGAATGACTCGACCTGATTACCTAACATAGGACTGAAGAGGACAGTTTAATTCCACGGCGGAAAATATATATTATATCACAATAATAATTATCCAGAAAAAAGCCCATTGATTGGACTGTAAATTTTATCCAATTGAAGAAAAAAAACCAAGACATTTTCTGATTGGTCAACTTAAATCAACCAATGGATGAAACAACCAATCCAAAATTAGATTCCTTAACGAATCGACCTTTAGCCTCATTGGCTTACAATCATCCACAAAGCGGAGTTAATAATAAAACGCATACTGGATCAGGTGAATTATATGATAATAAACACAGTAACAGATCAGAGAACCGTGAATATAATCCTAACAAACTATCATCACCATCATCATCATCATCCAATAATCAATCTAGTGTGAAAGAATTAACATTTAATGATAATAATAGTAATGATAGTTTATATGATACGAAAACGCCAACTACAATAACACATACTGGTAGTCAAAAGCATGGTCTAATTAAAAAACTTTTCAATCGAGCCTATCCCAATCATAATCATAATACTACTACTAGTACTTCGAATAGTAACAATAATAATAACAATAATAGTCCGGAAAAACTTAAAATTGTGGAATTACGTTCACATTGTCGACCACAGACTACAGAAATTTCACCAGCGTCAGTTAAAATTATGGGGAATGTTCATCAGGTAAGAATTGATATACTGTACTCTTTTTCTTGCCTCCTCTCTTTTTCTATGGATCTTTAAGTTCGAACAATGTGGAATATACTGAAGTTATGGTTCATTAACTGAAGAAGATCACTTTCAACTGATAGATCATGAGTTCGAGCCCCGTCTGCCGTGATTCGAGCGACCAGTTAGTAGTATCATTAACTCTCACACACTAAAGGTGTGATTTATTGCCTGCTGTATGAGTGTACATAAAGTTACTGGTTGGATTTCGATTACCCGAAGTTCGAACAAGCTAATATTTTAGTATGACCAATTTTCACCCTACATCTTCAAAGCTGTTCACCCATATGAAATAGATAATTTCTTCCCACTATAAACGCGGACAATATCACTTACATCCAGCTGATGAGTCAGTCCCAAATAGAACGAAACTCGCATCAAGCTAGATTCCATTGCTAACCACTATTCATCATTAATATTTAACTGAAACATGGGCAATATTGAGGCATTCGCACACGAGCCCATATGACAATAGACATTGGCCAATTTTATCCAATCAACGATGGGATGATATTGTATAATCTGTATGCGGATCGTTCTGTTGACAACATGAATGACCTCTCAGGTTCGAGAATTTACATCTGGAGTTAAACTTTATTCCCGTATGACTAATAGTATTTGGAAGAATACTGGTTGAAATCCTGTCAGCAATCAGATTTTGATACTTAGTGATGATTGAAGGTGAAAAGTAAATTTGGAGCATGGCCAGATTCGAACCAGCAACTAGTTGGTAGAATAACTTAACCTGTAATCCAGTGGTTGCAGATTCGAATCCCACCGCGATTCAAATTTACATTTCACCTTCAATCATCACCTAAAGGATGGTATATTTTCATAATCCTACCGCAAAACTATATTTGGAATCGATATTCACTACGTTTTGTTTGAAATCTATCCAAGTGTTATCATCATTGTAAAACGAGACTTTGAAATTCGACTTTATAATAGTGAGTTCCCGACTTGGAAATATGTTCCACTTATTTCGGCCTCATAAACCTCTCATATACAAAAAATTGTGTAAATTTTCAAGAGTAAAGCTATAGAGTAGGTCCTTACATTAGTTTTCCAAGGGTACTAGGCAAGATAGGCAAGTTGATTGATGATATTTTGAACCTTAGTTGACTGAGATATCTTGGATATGTATTACGCCGCGCATGCTGAGTCACTGCCTACCTCAACTTGTCATGCTAGCGGAAGTTAGATTAGATTGCAAGAGGGTTTATGGTGTTCGAACTAAGACGTAGCACCAATGCATAAAGTCAGCCATTTAAGGAAGTGTAGACTGCCTGGTTGGGGTCTACAAGACGATAGGAATCAATAGTTGAGGACTTTAGGTGTTAACACTTTGACACCCTGTAAAACTTGAATGTTCACACTAACCTTTTTCTTCAGACTGTTTATTCACTCATATAACTTTGTCAATGGCACCAATGTATGAAGTGTTTGACTGTTGGTTTGAGCCATGTGGGGCGATGCAGTGGTCTGCGGGACAAGAGGAACCAGTGGTTGGAGACTGACTCTAGGTGATCACATGGCCGAGAACTGATGACAGTGGCTAAGATGTACACCCACACACATTATCCTCATCTTAACGACACTATACCGACTCTCACTATTATGTCATTCTTCCTTTCTTTCTTCTCATACTTTATATTTCTTTTGACTGAACTTTCTTATCTTCATCATGCACCTCACTGCCTTTTACTTGATGTGGTGATATATGAGATGTGGCAACTCGAACTATTACGCAGTAATGTCTGGTCCTAGGTTGATCTGGATGGATGGATGGATAACTTTGTCTACTTTGTTTATCAGTCTTTTTCCGTCCAGTAGATTTTTGTATACCACCACGGTTAAGTGCAGCAGCTAGAATCGATACGCTTGTGCACGTCAATTTTGTCTATCTGTCTGGTTTTATTTTCGCGTTACTGAGATATACCTACATTTACCGTTGGCTGGTGAATATCTCAGTTGATCAGTTGTTCTGTATGAAATAAGGTAAATAAATCTTTTCAAGTTGTTATTCATCGTAGACTGACATCAGTTGGTGGAGGAATAAAGGAAACCTGGGAGCACTGGACAGCTGTTTCATCCAACTAGTATGAGACTCCTCAACACTGCACACCCACAACCCCGCCAGGAGTCCCATACTAGTCTGCTCCAACTAATGTCAGTCTACGATGAATAACAACTTGAAATATATTTCCAAATCCGCACAACTCCTTTTTAGGTTACCTTATGGTACCCCTATGGTTTCCTTTCAGCATGTTTTATGCCTTAAATCCCAATATGGATTGTAATTTTTCCCTTTCAATTTCGATTTTGGTATTTTAGTTTGATATCCGGTTGTCGATTAAGGGTTGAGTGTACTCTGTTCTACTACATGGCTGTGAAATATGGCCATTAAAGGGGGAAGACACGAGAACTTCAGGTGTCTAATTGCTGCTACCATAGTAGCATAGGCTGTGTTTTGGTGTTACTATGTCGAGTGTAGACTTTTAGGCAGGAACCTTCATCGACTGAAATGGCTGGCTGAGAGATATGTTACGCATGTCTAGGACTAGTCACCGTCTGCTTCATCTTACAATGTTGATCGATGTAGGTTCAGGCTGGAAAAACTCCCAAGGTGGCCACACTAAAACATGGCATCAGTGTATGAAGTCTCTGACTGTTGGTTTCAGCCATGTGGAGGGCGATGCAGACTAGGTGGTTGGGGTCGGGGGGACAAGAGGAACCAGTGGTTGGAGACTCTAGGGGATATGGCTCAGAGTCTATGTCAGTGGCGCAGATGTATGTCCACACTATCCCTCATCACTTTCTTATTCTTCCCTCTTCTACTTCTACTTCCTTTGATCAATGTTCCTTTCCTTCTTCATCTTCCATTTTATTACCTTGTTACTTGATGTGGTGATATGAGAGGTGGCAACTTGGATCGTCACATAGTTAATGCCTGGTAGTATGTTGATCTTGAGGGTATTCATCATGGGCTGCTAAGGAGTTCCATAATGAAACGAAGCAGCTTTTCAGTGCTCCCTGCTGTCTCATGCTTATTAAATTGATATGAATATGAACTTGAAGTCAACAAAACCCTCCTACAAACTTCTAATGATCGACTCGACCTCATTGATTCTGTCTTATTACCTTCAAAACAAATAAGATAGACAAAATCAGCGTGAAATATTGTGCACTGAAGTTCATCTGTACAATTTGTTACACTTTACAACCATATTGACAAAGAATAAGCGGGTAAGGAGGAATATTGAAACTTTAGAAGATGTCAAAAAGAGAATACTTCTGTCCCATTTTAATAAATTTTCAACTGTGTCACTAAGCATTCCCAACCACTGATCTCTATCGTCAATAGTGTTGGACTGTTATTCAACATAGTCAGTATTGCATCTTAAAGGGATAAATTTGTATGTGAGACAGCGAAAGGGAGTAAGTGAGTGGATGAATAAGTGAGTGAGTGAGTGAGTGAGTGAGTGAGTGAGTTCCAGAGTGAGTGAGTGAGTGAGTGAGTGAGTGAGTGAGTGAGTGAGTGAGTGAGTGAACGAATGAATGAATGAGGGAGGGAGGGAGGGAGGGAGTGTATGAGCTGCAGAGCGAGTGAGTGAGTGAGTGTGAGTGAGTGAGTGGGTGAGTGAGTGAGTGTGAGTGAGTGAGTGGGTGAGTGAGTGAGTGAGTGAACGAATGAATGAGGGAGGGAGGGAGGGAGTGTATGAGCTGCAGAGCGAGTGAGTGAGTGACCTAGGTATGAGACTCGATTGCCAACTAGATTTTTATTTGCTCTTCAATCACCAAGACTTGTTTTGACTGACTAGCATGTGAATTCGTGACGGGTTACTATCACTTGGACATATCTGCGTACAGACTCTATTCAAAAGAGCTAGAACACACTGCAGTACAACAACTTCACGGAGAAACGAAGAAAATTACTTGATATCCATCGTAAAGAAGAATGGCTAACCACGAAACTTTATCCACAGATGCCTATCCCCTACATCATCAACTACAAAGTCATCGACAGAAATCAATAGACGCATCGTCCTACCATACATAAAGAATGTAACAGAAATCACGACAAGATTACTGAGACCACTTGGAACTGGTATGGCCAATAAATCAACAAATTCCCTCCAAACCCTACCCTATTATGCAGATCAAAGGATGCCACAACCAAAGAAGACAAACCGAATATCATTTACAAAATCAACTGGAATAACTGTAGTCAGCCCTACATTAAACAAAGTGGTCACCCTCTTCACCTTCGTCTACATGAACACCAATTGGCTATTAAAGGTCACGATATTTCATCACTCATTTCAATACACGTGGATGACAACTATGAACGTGAATTTAATTTTGACAATGTAGAAATCTTAGAGGAGGAGAGGAAAGACAAAGAATATCAGACAATTCCTAGAAGCTTGGTATTCAGGTCCGTCAGTCAGCAATCAACAGATGTATAGACATAGACCTCAGTCTATCAACCAATAAGAAAGATGCTAAATGACAGGAAGGTCAATGATGAAGCAGAGGAACAGCCAACAGGAAAATTTATGCAGCCAGTCATTGACACAATAATCGAAGGAAACAACGAATCACAGACCACATCGTCAGAGCATGCCACTAAATCACTGAGGGAGAGATACTGACAGCTGACTTCATACTGAAGTTAGTGTTGTGGATGATGTCACTGTCTAGAAAGATGATGAGAGCTTCACGATTAAACAACAACTCAACTGAGAGAACACGATACAACCAAGACAGCATAATCTGCTTCCAGTAACCGGAGAAAGAATAAAGGGGGACAAACAGAGCAGAAGTTTATGAAACATAACAGAAGAGTTAATGATGGATCGTGGCTAGTAGTGGAATATAGAATGCGCATTTCGTCCTATTTAATACTCGTCAACTAGATGTACCTGTTTCCCAGTGAGTTGTGTTGTTCCCAA